TATATTTCCATTTGGCTTATATTAGGAAAAATGTCCGTTATCGATAGAATCTGTAATATATGTGGGACATATAAATTGGGCTTAAATTCTCAGTCGTTATAGAACAAGATCTGTTATAGAAAGATCTGTTATAGAAAGATCCGTTACAGAATGTGAACTAGAACTGTATTCTTCAACATATTTGACACATCCCATAAAAACAGATTGCATTCGTTACTTTCATTGATTATGTGTTTGGCACAAAGGTAGATAAATAGAAGACTGGCTGACTACTGATTGGAGGACCATTGCGTAAAATATATAAAATTTATATTGAAAAACTTGGTGATCAAGTTATTGAGGAAAAACTACATAATGACTTTCCACGGTATGAAGAATAGAATTAACCAATATTGTCAAAGAAGAATTACATCTATTACCTCTGTAATTAATACAATTAACATGTTAAAGAAAAAGGTGATCACGAAGATTATGGAAAAGACCATTGTGGTAATGCATCAAAAGGAATTGAGCTTGATTAAGGCCTCAGAACATATTAATTCTGAGGGTAATATCCTTCATGATGAGAATGATATGAATGTTGTATTTAACTTTAAATGATATTTATGAGAATATATTTTTACAATCACTATTATATTAAAAGATTCTATAATTATTATTGCTACTAAAGAATAATTTTTTAAAACCAATTTTCCTTCTTTGCCTTTTGTTATTATTACTATTATTCTTCTAAAATTTACTTTTAATATTGACCTTGATCTCTGTTATACTTTATATATATTATAAATTATATGCATTATTTGCTGTATGTTTAGATAGAAAATGGTTCGATTTATTACTTTTTGCCCACGAAAATATATTATGTATTTTATCTAGCAAAAAAAACTAAATTATAATTTCACTAAATGCTTTTTTTTTTTTTACTACTTTTTCTCGCCGCCACTTCATATATTTCTTCATTTTCGTCACTATCATCATCAACTGTCAATACTCCATCAATATTTTTTTCCTTAAAGTTATCATCGGTATCATCATATTTAAAGTTTATTTGGAAGCTATCAATTTCTTTAAAGTACTTGATTCTTTCTTGACGCTCTTTTTGATATTTCTTTAATAATAAGGAATTTTGGTAAGTTAACCAAACGTTTATTTCTAAATTTGGATTGTATTTTAATATATTAGTATATTATTATTATTATCTTACCTCGTCAATTTTTTTATTTTTTCCTTTATTGCCTTTTACTTCTTTGTCGTCATCATCTTTTTCTTTTCTTTTCCTCACCTCCGCTCCCATTTTTCCAGAATCATTTCCTCCTTCATCTGATGACATTGGAAAATCCAATTCATTTTCAATTTTAGGTTCTAATGGATGATGATGACGCC